AAACATAAATTCCTCGTCGGTACGTCAACTAGCATCCTACAACAAAACTAACAAAAATCTGGTTCTTACAACTTGAAGCCAATTCACTGCTAGAGGATTCCGTTCACATGAAAGTTTACCAGTGTCATACAAGCTTTGCATCCCGATTTACTGAATGAAGTTGCTCTTTTTCTGCGTTTATTTCCCAGCGACAAAGGCATTAATAAAATGGGTAAGTGCTGAGGGGGTTTGAGTATTTTTCTGCGCTATTGTCGTTGAACACACTTTAAACTGACCTTTTTATTTATTTTTTTTTAACCTTTTCGAAAGCTAAATGTATCCACCGTTCCTGATCGATATCCCATTCCGCATATACACGATTTCGCACCTTGATCACGAGTATTTCAAAAAATCGATTAACGAATGCATACTTTCAGATTCCAGTAGCAGAAGAAGATATCCTCAAAATGTCAGTGACGGCACTGTTTGGACAATTTACCGAAGAAGGTGAAAAGGGTTGAAAATTTTCCTATGCCCATTTCTATCCGACAATTACGAAGATTTATTAGGCTGATATACAATTACCGCCATTTCCTTCCAAACCGCTTTTTTTTTTTACCGCCAATCAACCTATTACAGAAGAAAAACAAAAACATCGCACTAAAACAAAACGCCATGCTTTCCATACAGTCAAATCCGCACTTTTAAAATTCGCCATACTCTCATGCCCCAGTCAGTCAGTTATGTGCCATAATCGATACATGATTGATGGGGCAGATTTTTCCTCGCAGTAGGTTGCCATGTCTTTCTACGGTAGACCAGTTGCCATCCATGGCTACAGAACCCGGTCTGTCCTGCTATTCACCCTTAGCTGGAGGGAGGAGAAGAATATTCATACATTTCCAAAGGGTATTAGCACGAAAGTGAATGTAATGGATTTGACTGGAATTCGAACTCGGCTCTCCGATTCCTCAATCCGAGCCGCTATCCATTAATCCACCTATGATGAAAATGCATAAATTTTCCTCGTCACAGACGCGTCTAATACAGCAGTAGGATTAGTAATCTAACAAGATATAGATTCAATAAGGAAACCTATTTCGTTTTTTCTGAGCAAAATTAATTCAAACTAAAATGAAGTATAGTACCTTATCCAGGGAACTGCTAGCCATATATCTAGCAATCAAAACATATATTGCGATTTTCCAAGCTTAGATGTGGCACAAGGCCGAAAGTGTGGGGCACCCAGTGAGGATCGAACTCACTACTCATTCGTAATTGTGTTAGCGAGGCAAGCTTGCTAACCATTACAGCGCCTCAGGGTGGCCTCAGTTCAGACATATATTTGAAGGTAGGAATTTCGTAATAATTACAGATCACAAAAGCCTCACTAGTGCAATGAACAACAGTGCAGATAAATACACCCCTAAAACTTAAACAGAGCAAGCGAGAATTTCACAAGTCAAAAAGGGAACGTTTCTGACAAAGATCAATATTGACAGGCTCAAGTCAACTTTCTTAGAAAAATATCACCAACCACATGAACATTATTCTCCTGATACACAACATACACCACAAATACACCTGAACTTCAAACAAGATTAGGAAGAAAGGTTAGATACATTTCTTAAACATTTATTTACTATTAAATAATTGATTCGTTTTCTCAACTGGTCACTTATCGAGAAAGGAGATTTATCGTAGCTTCTACATTTGCCTGACTCCGAAGTAAACAAATCGGCGACAGAAGTGTCAAATGCGAAAACGCGACTCTGAGAGCGGTGGATACGGACAGCCATTTCCGGCTTCCTTTGGGTAAAATAAACGGAGTCAACCAATCGGACGAGTTCCCGTTCGAAACAAGCGTTCTATTTTTTTTTTGACCCACAGTGACTTCTCCCTGTCTTTTCTACAAATATTTTCATGACGATTGTTCTGATGAAACTTTTTCCTTTAGTTCCTCGACTACATGAATTTAAGCGTGCTACTAGATTGGCAACTAGGTCTCACCATTTTACTGTTGAACTAGCTAGATGCAACCGCCACTTCTATTTTAACAGTTCCTTTTCACGCACTTCTCGCTTGTGGAACTCACTTTCGATTTCCTGCTTCTCTGCAACTTACTATCGTCAAAAACTTAAATGCAACGTCAATCGACATCTTCTGTTTTCCTGAGTTCTGTTCCTTTATTATCATTTGCTCACTTCTTCTCACTCATTCTCTTTCACTTCTCTTGTAGCCCGTGCGTCTTAGTGGCATTATCGCCTTGCTTGGTGTGAAATGACTAAGAAAAAGGTAAAATTCTGAATTTGCTTGATTCTGACGCCTCCAAATCGTAGGTCACATAAACTGTATTACGTATTAAATTTGTGTTTATGTTTCAGCATGAAAATATGTTGGATTTTCAGCATTTAATGATGTCATTTTGCGGTTAGAAATTTGCTGTTTTCCAATTTAGCATATCCATGAAGATGTTATTCACCATTTCAGTCAAGTTTGATCTTCAAAAATTTAATTGCAATGTCAATCGTTCTCTTTTGTCCTCTTAATTCTTGTTCTTTTATTGTTTTCTCTCCTTAATAGCGTTCGTCTCATACGTGTGTGCAATCTCAAAGATAGTAAGATAAACGCCTTAAGGCAGTTCAAACTCTGAAGACGACGAAGTCCCGTTCATCGTCTGGTTTATTAATAATCAAAAGTGTAAAACTAGAAAAAGAATTAAATACATATAAATAAGACGAGTTTGTCTATTTTTTATTTGTATTTACAAGTAAACAAAAACACGAGATATATGTAAAATTAAACTGTGCTTATGATGTGCCTGCGAACACGGGGAGTCGTTCTTCTTTCGATTTCCACATCGCGTTGTGCTCTTTCACTGTTCCCAAGAATTCCGACCAATTCAACAATTTACTGCTTTAATTACTCCACCGTAAATTAAACATTTTTATTGCTGCCAAATCTGTGGTTGTGTCCAGTCCTCACTGTCCATCCTTGAGAGTGTCGAAAAGCGATCAGGCAGCATGTTCTGCCCAGAGAGAGTACACGTCTGTCTCATACGCGTGCGTAGTCTCGAAGACAGCCAAGGCAGTTATAACTCTGAAGAAGACGACGTTCCCTACATCGGCAGGTTTATTAAGAACCAAAAGGGTAAAACTAGAAAAAGAAATAAATACACGTAAATGACACTAGTTAGTGTGAAAATAAAAACAAACAAGGGTAACGAGAAATATGAAAAAAAGCAGCCGGAGGCTTGAACATAAAACTAAAACCATTTGCATAAACGGATAAAGAAATGCAACGAATACATTGTTTATATGAATATGTATAGTTTGCTCTATGAATACATTTCAACGTTGCGGTGATTTCGCGGAAAAGGAAGTCAGAAAAAAGGTTACATCTGTAACAGTTGTATATGGTCAGTAAAAAGGATTCTACATCGAGAGATACAAACGTAAAATAAACATGAAATATGGCTACATAAAACAACCGTTCAAATAATGACATAATAATAAAATAGGCAAATATAGGGAGCAAAGATAATAAAAGTTACAAACCAGTGACGGTAACATTAAAGGTGAGATTAGGACGATGAAACTATCGACAACGTACTTGGTATACTACCTTTATTGTAAGGGGTTCGCCTGGTATACTAAAGGCTAACCGGAAGTAGTCAAAACGGTGATCAATCTAAAAAGTATCTAAAGTAAAAAAAGGACAAAGGAAGGGAAAATAAAACAATACTAATTACTAATTAATTTTACTAATTAATAATTTAATTTTTACTAATTAATAGTTTAATTTAATAATTTAAATAATTAAAACTAATCAACGAGAGGATAATTTGAATAGTGTAGAGATATTATAAAAAAGATGAGGTTAACTTCGGAATAATATTAAACCTATTTCAGATTACCAGGGAGTAACTTGCAAAGTAAAGTATCTTGAAATCATTACACTAATACGAGCGAGCCAACACTTTTTCACGAACGTTTTAAACTGATTAGCCACGAACAGTGGAGGATGGAGAGGGTGAACTAAAAAAATGATATCTGAGAATTGTTTAACGTATTTTAAGCGTTTTCACCACTTTCATTAATACGATATTATTGTGAACATAAATAAGTATAACTATGCATTTACATGCATATTCTATCTAGTTAAGATAGTTCCAGAATAGTCCGTGAAATTCCAGTCGTCGAATATTCCCTTTCTTTTCAATTTCCTATATATAGAGAGTAACTCTCTATTTTCAATAGCACCGAATCTTTTAAAATAGTAGGAAAAGAAAGCAAATGATAACGTGTCTGTTGTACGATTGGATAGATAGATAGATAGATAGATAGATAGATAGATAGATAGATAGATAGACATCATGGGAAGATTGAGATAGATAGATTATGGGAAAACCTAGATAGATAGGTCATGAGAAGACTTAGATAGATAGATAGATAGATAGATATGAACAGACTGACATAGATAGATATGAACAGAATGACATAGATAGATAGATAGATAGATAGATAGATAGATATAAATATGAGCAGACTGACATAAATAGATAGATAGATATGAACAGACTGACATATATATATATATATATATATATATATATATATATATATATATATTATGTGTGTGTATTTAGGCAGTATCTTTTCATTCATACACGTTTCATTAAATAATATAGACAAGTGTTGTCTATTTATTTTATGTAAATTCTTTTCATAACGTTATGAAAAGAATTTACATAAAATAAATAGACAACACTTGTCTATATTATTTAATGAAACGTGTATGAATAAATATATATATATATATATATATATATATATATATATATATATATAGATATATAGATATATATATATATAGATAGATAGATAGATAGATAGATAGATAGATATGAACAGATTGACATAGATATCATGGGAAGATTGAAATAAATAGATCATGGAAAAACTGAGATAGGTTATGAGTAGATAGATAGATATGAACAGATTTAGATATATATGAACAGATTAGCATAGATAGATAGATAGATAGATATGAGCAGACTGACATAAATAGATAGATAGGAACAGATTGACATAGATATAGATAGATAGATAGAGAGAAACAGATAGATAGATATGAACAGATTGACATAGATAGATAGAGAGAAACAGACAGATATGAACAGATTGACATAGAGAGATAGATAGATAGATAGATAGATAGATAGATAGATAGAAACAGATAGATAGATATGAACAGATTGACATAGATAGATAGAGAGAAACAGACAGATATGAACAGATTGACATAGAGAGAGAGAGAGAGAGAGAGAGAGATAGATATAGATGGATGGATAGAGAAAATAGATAGATAGATATGAACAGATTGACATAGATAGATAGATAGATAGATAGATAGATATGAACAGATTTAGATATATATGAACAGATTAGCATAGATAGATAGATAGATAGATAGATAGATATGAGCAGACTGACATAAATAGATAGATAGGAACAGATTGACATAGATATAGATAGATAGATAGAGAGAAACAGATAGATAGATATGAACAGATTGACATAGATAGATAGAGAGAAACAGACAGATATGAACAGATTGACATAGAGAGATAGATAGATAGATAGATAGATAGATAGATAGATAGATAGATAGATAGATAGAGAGAAACAGATAGATAGATATGAACAGATTGACATAGATAGATAGAGAGAAACAGACAGATATGAACAGATTGACATAGAGAGAGAGAGAGAGAGAGAGAGAGAGAGATAGATAGATAGATAGATAGATGGATAGAGAGAAATAGATAGATAGATATGAAGAGATTGACATAGATAGATAGAGAGAAACAGATAGATATGAACAGATTGACATAGAGAGAGAGAGAGAGATAGATAGATAGATAGATAGATAGATGGATAGAGAGAAATAGATATATAGATATGAACAGATTGACATAGATAGATAGATAGATAGATAGACAGAGAGAAACAGATAGATAGATATGAACAGATTGACATAGATAGATAGATAGATAGATAGATAGATAGATAGATAGATATGAACAGATTGACATAGAGAGATAGATAGATAGATAGATAGAGAGAAATAGATAGATAGATATGAACAGATTGACATAGAGAGATAGATAGATAGATAGATATGAACAGATTGACATAGAGAGATAGATAGATAGATAGAGAGAGAGAAATAGATAGATAGATATGAACAGATTGACATAGAGAGATAGATAGATAGATAGATAGATAGATATGAACAGATTGACATAGAGAGATAGATAGATAGATAGATAGATAGATAGATAGATAGATAGATAGATATGAACAGATTGACATAGATAGATAGATAGATAGAAATAGATAGATAGATATGAACAGATTGACATAGATAGATAGAGACGGTGTAAAAAGGAAGAATAAAAAGAGATCAAGAACAAGAGAGAAAAAGAAAGTTTTTATCTTTACTTGCATCGAATTTTTAAAAATATTAGGAAAATAATTTTTCTCGCCCGAAGCCGAGAACGTGTTTGCTGAATGATTACATAGATATATAGATATATAGAGAGGGAGAGAGTTGTAAAAAAAAGGAAGGATTCAAAGAGATAAAAAAAAGAGCGCCAAAAAGAAAAAAAAAAAAAAGAGAGAAAGATTAAAATGCAAATAGGATTAAGAGAGGCAGCAAATCATTCGGAAAATAAGAGAGTGATTGAGAGATAGTAAGGAAGAAAGGAACGAATAAGAAATATAAATAGAAAGCTTGCAAAAAAAAAAAAATAGAAAGAAAGAACAAAGGAGAAACAGTCACAAAGAAAGAATCTGAGAAGCAGACTAAAAATGGTGAAAGTTTCGTCGAAGGTGAGCGAACAGAAAGAAAGAAAAATGTAAAAAAGAGAAAGAAAAGAAAGACTAATATAGAAAGAGAGATTAATGAATAGCAAAAAAAAAAAAGAAAAAGAAAAAAGAAAGAGAGCAAGAAAAAATGAGAGGCAGCTAGAAAAAGAGAGACAAGCGAAATATTGTACCGAAGAGTTCATTAATATTGATACGTTGACGAGAAAGAAAAGCACAGTTATCGACTCTGTGCTTTGGTGATCAACTGTTATGATAAAGATAGTTATCGAATCTTGCTTGTAATAAATCATGTCCTAAACGAAATGAACCTTCTGGGGATCCAGCTTTTTGGAGAACTGAAAAAGCAGTCTTTCAAACCCTTAGGCACAGAAAAGCAGATAAAAAGCAATGAGTACTAAATATCTTTTGTGTAATAAACCTTGCTAATAAAGTAATCAATTTTAGCTTCTTTTGGGCCACTCGGGGCCTGGTTGTTCGCCCACTACACAGAGGTCATAAAGAATTTAAGATAATTTCAATATTGTAACGAAGAGAAGATTTATTTTGCGATAATTTAATTAAATACTCCAATTCATTCGTGTTATTCACAATTCAAGAATATATACTTGTTTGTCAATAAAAGGAATAGATAAATTTAAGAATTAACTAACAACTTATGAATAAAAGTTTTCGCATCACATGTTTATTACAATATATGGTAATATATAAAACAGTTTTGAAAGCTTTTATTTTCACATGTTTTGCTGATGGGACGTTTTGTGATGTCAGTGAAACACCCGTTGTCATTTTTGTGATGCCAACGAATACTCGTCACTTTCGTAATGCTCGTTGTAGTAGAGACTTTGTATTCGCAGATACAACTATAGTAACGCCGTTGAACAATACTGGTGTCAGACGCCTTCGAATATTACTAGCACTAATAGTATTTGCTCGATAATACTCGCTCGTATAGTAACCACTGAAAAGTGAACCGAATAGAGAAATAGTATAAGTGAATAGAGGAGAGAATAGCGATCCCTATAGGATAGAGGATAGAATAGAAATGGTGATCCAAATAGTAATAGAGGATAGAAAAGAAGTGCAGATCAATTAGACACACGCTACCTCCCATATATGCGTTTCATCTATGGTCAGGTGGTCTACTTAATTCAATAATGGGATCGCCTGTGTTTGCTTACTGGCGATCTATGTTCAAACTCAAATGTCGGCAGCGACACTTTATTCCTATACTAGCAGCATGGCCCGGTGTTGCCCGTGCTTGATTCAAAAAATCGTACGACTCATACAGCAATCGCTATCATTTGACTTAAAATATTTTTGCCCTTCCTTGCCTTTAAAGGAGTGTCCTTTGCCGTGCTGATGTTGTTACATACCTTACTTCTTGCCTATCTCACACTGCGAATTTTTTCTAAGCTCTATACTAAACATTAAATCTGTTACGAAAAAAGTACTAAACAAAATGAACACAAAACGATCAGCTTTAAAAAAGGACTCGTAACTGGAAAAACCGAATGAAAAAAGAATGTTAACAACAAATACTTTTTCACACCCAACCCAATTCTCGGGAATCAGAATCAACGTTGAGTTTAAGCAAGCGAATGAGCCATTTGGAGTAAAGTGCCATGCAGATTTAAATTTTTCCCACTTGTGACGAATGCAGCTATCGATTTTATTTGCATGCTAGCATGCTAGTTAACATTAGTGTCAGTCAGCTGTTGGCTCTCACGCTGGCCAATAGGATCTTCCTGCCTATTCGTGGCAGCCAGCTATAGGCTCTCACTCTGGCCAGTACAAAATGGCCGCAAACTACATGAAAACTGCTGTAGAAGCATGAGAAAATTGATTATTTCCACTATCGATGGGAGTTGGGAAATGCAAAGTTGGTGTTGGCCTTCCCGCTAACTTGGAGCATGTGCATGTATATTTTGGTGCAAATCCGTCGAAAATTGCGGCCGTGCATTCATTACACACACACACACACACACACACACACACACACACACACACACACACACACACACACACACACACATTAATTAAGCATAAATATTAAGATTAATATTAAGCATATAAACAGTTGAATTGTATTGCATCTTTTTAGAAATTAAATTCTAACTAGTTTTAATTCAGTTATTTTACTATTATTGCTGTACACATCATATTTATTTGGTACACATGTTTGAATAGGCATCCTTGTTTTTAAGCAATGAGAATAATGTCAACCAGCCTAGAGATCGGGAATCTTATTCCAGAAAATGTGCCTCTCGACATAAATGAAAACAGTATTTCACTGTCAGAGAATCACCTACGTTAAGTGTGCCTTTTTGCCCAATAAGGCTATGAGAAACCATCATGACAAAACTAGGTTTAGTTCCTCTATTCAAGAAATGTATAACTCTCTTTGGGACATTTCCAAGTCTATATATGCTAACTTTATTTCCAATCCTGAAAAATAAACAAAGTAATTTTTAAATCATGTTTTTAAAACTCGACATTACTCATTGCTATAAGAGTTATATTTAGTGATTACACGTGTTTGATTAGACATCACTGCTTTATTTTTTAAGTTAAATTAATTTTAACCGGCCCAGAAATCGAGATGTCTTACTAGAAACAATATGTCTCCCGATGTTAGTTACTTTGATGGAAGAAAGAATTACAGGTACGATATCTGTTGGAAGGTAGATTTTATTTAGTAGGATCTCTCGATCAAAAATATGTACTCACTAAATAGAACAGTTATAGTAATAGGAAATAAATTTCGGAGTAAAAAAAATCACCAATTACTTAAAAATGATTTATTCTAGTTTTCCAATTTGTTTTATATACTAACCATTCTTTCGGTTTCATACCGTTCCTTACCATTCTTTACTCATTCTTTACTATTCCTTAGGTTTCTTACCATTCCTTACCATTCTTTACCGTCCTTTACTATTCCTTACCATTACCTCGGTTTTTACCATACTTTAGCATTCCTTACCATTTCCTCGGTTTCTTACCATTCCTTACCATTCTTTACCATTCCATTGGTTTCTTACATTCCTTAACATTCTTTACCATTCCTTACCATTTCATCGGTTTTTTACCATTCTTTACCATTCCTTACAACTATTTACCATGCTCTCGGTTTCTTACCATTCCTTAACATTCTTTACCATTCTTTCCATTCCCTACCATTCCATCGGTTTCTTACCATTTTTACCATTCTCTCGGTTTCTTACCATTACTTACCATTCATTACAATTCTTTACCATTCTCTCGGTTTCTTACCAGTACTTACCATTCCCTCGCATTCCCATCCAAACTATACTCATTAAAATATATGCAAACATACTTGGGTGAGATCTGCCCAATATTTACTTTCCACCCTTGATAGAGTCAAAAAGCGTTTACGTGGCCTTGTGAGCGATGAATTATTTTCGACTTTACATCCCTTCCCCATAGACGAAACATCACAAGCCTATCCCCACTCTGTCGTTATTTCCATGGCAAATGTTCAAATGAGCTACATTCTATACTTCCACCACTTTTTTTCTTACGTCCACACAAAGCGCATATTTCGTAATCCTCTACCTTGTGTGGATATTGGGCCCTGTGTTTGTGAAAATTTCGTAAAATACCCACCCCACAAGAAACCAAACAAAAACATAAATCAATGCAAAGTCATTGATAAAAGACACATAAACAAAACAAAGCAAAAACGCTTTCATTTAATCCCCAAACACAAATTTTCTACCTGCGATCACTATGGCTGATGCCCTAGGAGAGCAACACACTGTGCCGTCTTCGCTTCATGTTTTCCACTGACATGTAGTGGATATTGAATCAACTACCACGTCTCCAGCTAGGAAAGTTGGTTCAATGTGTCGGGCCAGAAAATCTTTCCCGTCAGAATCCACCCTGCATATTTATAAATCTATCATTCATCCGTGCATTGAATATGGCTGCCATGTCTGGTTCGGCGCCATTCTTATACCTTTCGACGTGATGTGACTTCCCTCTGTATGTTCTACAAATACTTTCATAGCTTACAGCTTGGATGAGCTTTCTTTTCCTTGGTGCACCGAATACATTAACTTAAGCGTGCTACTAGATTGGCAAATACGTCTCAGCTTTTTTTTTTATTATAGAACAAGATGCGACCATCATTTCTACTTTAATAGCTTTTACACGCACATTTCGCCTCTGGAAATCCTTCCCGATTTCTTTCAACCCTGATAACTAAATAAAATTCTATTTTGCTTTAAATCGTTATTTTTCGATTACAAATTATTGGTAGTTAAGACACAATTTTGTTTCGATGAAATTTTCTTTTAAAGCATGGAAACCTTGTTCCCGATAGAGAAGAAATTTCTTTTTAGTTTTGGAAAATGGGTTAGTATTTATGCTTAAAATAATCCGTTTTGTAAAACGAATTATTTTAATAATTAAATTTAGTCATTCATGCATATATATTAAAAATACATCCTATCATCCTTTATTAAAATGGCTGTATTAGACGTTCAAATGTTTTTTCTACTGATTCACTTTCTTTTTAATAAATTCTAAAAGAATCCTTTAAACCTAAATTTATTTGCCAATAGATAAAAATAAATATTTTTACACTTGTTTTATATGTC